TTACGATGTTTTTTTCCAATAAAAAAATATCACCTTCCAAAGCTGTTTGCATTGTGCCAAATTGCATGCAATTGTCTCGAGTGTTACCCTGCTAGCTCAGAAATTTGTTGGGCTTCAGTTTACTTGTTCCTTATAAACAATCTACTATCTTTTACAAAGTGAGTTCAGCAGAACGTATTCAGCACAAAATTGGATAAGTCAGTTATTTGTTGAATGCATGTAATGTAATGTAATATAACCTTGACTATTTTAATTGGGGCCTTAGAGTAAGCCCACGGGTTACTGGATATCAACATGGTACATGGACATGGCCACAATTTCATCCAAGCTGTACCTCCCATTTTGATGCAGTACGTACACTTTTTTTTTCAGGTGTGAATATATATTGTACAGCCCTTGATTGATCTTATCCACTTAGATTTGAGTGTCGGACTTAGCACAAGTGAAGACCTTATTTATGACTATTTATCCTTATAATGGTTCCTCATATGATTACATGCTGCCATCAGGATACACTTTATTATCTCCCAATAAAGTGTAGTTCAGTGGCTGGTTACTAGCGGCAGGGTAGTTGTTTCTTTACATGCTTTCAATTGGCTGTTAGTTTCTTTGTCAGTAGTTTAGTTTTGCAGTAGTGCAGTTTAGTCATACAGTTTACATGATTTCAAAATGCTACTTGTAACGTGAATTCACTCGTACTGACTAAGTGTTCTTGTCTTATTTCTCCGCTGTTTGTATTGTAGCTACACCTATCTGCTTGGAACTGTTTAAGTTCCTTTCCGTTGCTCCTCAAGTGAGCTCTTCAATTTGGCATCGAGTACTACTATATAGTTGTTAGTTCTAAACAACAGTACACGCCTGCTACTTTCAGACTTAAATACATGTACATATGTATCTACTGCTATACTAGTATAAATTCCTTGTGTTATGCATACACTTTTGATCACTACTTTTTCTTTGTAATTTGGGAGTAGTTGAGTGGACTAGTTAGGTGATTCTTGGGATCTGGGCTTGCTTTATTCTCTTCTAGACAAGCAAAGCAATTACAGAGATAGAAAGATAGAGGAGAAAGGAAAGTGGGCAGTGTACTGATGAAACCAGTGTACTGATGAAACCAAAACAAAAATCACAAGAAGCTTTGCAGCATTTTTATCTATCTTATCCTGTTGCCACCTCTACTTTGTAGATGCATGAACTTTTGAAATAGCACATTATTAATGGTTGTCTCTGCACAAGGTCGCTTCACTCATGGAGTCCCTGTTGGTAGTGTGGGTAGTGTGCTGACATATGTTTGAGAAAAAAAAGTATACTTTGTTTGGTCATGACTAATCTGAAGCACTATAAATAGGAGCGCAGAATAATGGAAGCAATTTTAGGCTCTGTTCATACTCTTTTACAGCTTGTCTTGGGATTTCAGTATTTTCTCTGAATATAGAAATTATTGGATTCGCTTACGCTGATCCATCTTGTATTGTTACTGAATCTTAATTGTCCATTGCAGAAAATTTAGCTATGACATTTCCATTCACTGTCAAGAAATTTCAGTTTTTTCACTTCTCAACCAATATGCCATTTTTTCACTTAACCAATATGCAATATGCTGATCTTCTTACTGCATGTCAATCAATTTTAATTGCAGTTCTATATTTTGGATTTTTTTACGAGATCTTATAGTATAATTTATACTATTATCAGCAGGACTAATCCTATTTTGGTTAGGAGCTAGGGCTAATTTGATTTGTCACTGTTCTTGATTATGAATCCAAATACTATTGTCATGCCATTGGAACTGATGTTGAACTTTTTGTCTACCAGGCTTGAGTGTGCAGGAGGTCTAAGATCTATGGTCTTCACATATATCAACATCACTAGATAACCTAGAATTCTTGTAACTTCTATGAGAGATTTGTGCTTTTGCCAGTTCAAACTCTATTTTGTCTTGATCAAGACTGAAAGGATGATGCTTATTGATCAAGACTCTATTTTTGTTTGCTACTTGTCTGCTACTTCTCCATCATTTCAGTCCCTTGTTTTTCATGCATGTAGATAAATGTTTACTGTCAAGTTGCTGTCAAACAAGTTGCTAATATATACTATCAAGTTGCTGTCAAACAAGTGTTTATGTCAAGTTGTAATTGTTGACCCTGTTGAGCTGCTCTTTACAACCACAATGCTGCTTTTAATCTATAGGGAAGAAAAACAGCCACAAACTGCGATGGCGGTGTAAAGGGCAAGGGCAGCTAAACAGGAACGGAACCCTGTAATCATTCCTGGCTGAAACGAACGGTAGTTGCACCAACTCCGTGACAATTAATTCATGGTTGTGTATCTGGGCCTGGAATGAGTGACACACCTGAATCCACAGTATCCAGGCCTGGAAAGTTTTCAGGGGCTAGGAACAGAACCCAAGCAAACGAACTAGGCCTAAGGCACCGTCTTCTCTGGAGGATGACACATGTGCACTGAAGTCGTTCTGGGTTCCTTTTCATGACTCGTGAGTCATCGGAGTCCTTACAAATTAGTTACTTCGCATACTCTGATAGTGGATGTCTCTGTTAGTACGCTTATTCAATAACAAAATGCCCTAGATATATATAACTAGCTGCATGCCAGCCGACCAGCTTGGCATTACTATTAAATTATACGAGCTGATGAGTTCAACTAAAAAACCTAAGGTGATGAAAAAAATGAATAATTCACTTATACTTCAACGACCATTCTTACGTGGAAGCTCCCTCCAGCCTCATTATGAGAAATAGAGAGCAAGCAATTCACATGCAGCCCTCTGGCATCAACCGTGGTGATAGGATTGTTTTATTTAATTGTCTTGTTAGGATTCGAACTCGAGACCTCTGGCCCTAGTATTATATTATGTTCATGCATCGACCAGTTTAACCTAAGAGGTTAAGTTGATGGAGAGATGTGAGGATTTCAGTTATACTTCAACAGTTACAGAATACGGCGGTCTTGAGAAAACAATGACGAGGACCACCAACACTTGACTAAAATCAATCGTAGTGATGGACCAAAGGCAGGATTCCTTCACTACTTTATCTTAATCATGGTTACAGCTGTGGACTAGCAGTCCTTTCCTGCTTCTCTCTCTCTCACTCAGCCAACAAAACAAACAAGCGGGTGGTTCACGGCTTCACCTAATCAGTAGTAGCCTAGCAGGTAATTGGACAACTAATAAGTGACAAAAAGACCTATATGATAGATTGCAGCCTAAAGAGACCTTCTTAGTAGCCTTTGCAACGCATGCTAATCAGATCATGGCAGGCCGGGTGTGAACATCGGAGACTACATACACTGAAGGAGTCAAGGAGTAGTTGACAGTATATATTATTAACAGTTATACTTCAACAGTTACAGAATACGGCGGTCTCGAGAAAACAATGACGAGGACCACCAACACTTGACTAAAATCAATCGTAACGATGGACCACAAGCAGGATTCCTTCACTATATCTTAATCTGGTTACAGATGTGGACTAGCAGTCTTTCCTGCTTCTCTCTCTCTCTCAGAGCCAGGAAAACAAACAAGCTGGCGCTTCGGCCGCTAGTTCATATGCCCAACTATTTACTGATAGATTGCAAATTAGCCTTTACAACGCATGCTAATCCTCATGGCAGGCTGGGTGTGAACATCGGAGACTACATACACTGCTGCTCAAAGACGCGTTTCCTTCAACAGCACAGAATACGGCGGTCTTGAGAAAACAATGCGAGGACCACCAATACTTGACTAAAATCAATCACCCAGCGCGCGCGGTGGACCAGCAGCCTTTCCTCTCCTCTCTCAAAACAAAACGTTTAATGTTAAAAAAATCAGTAGTAGCCTAGCGCCTGCAGTAAGACAAAAAAAAAATTGCAGCCTAAAGAGACCTTCTTAGTAGCCTCTGCAGGACCAGCGCAGGCTGGCAGAACATCGGAGACTACATACGACTTAGGGCGTGTTTAGTTTGAAAATTTTTATTAACAGTTATACTTCAACAGTTACAGAATACGGCGGTCTCGAGAAAACAATGATAAAAACACTTGACTAAAATCAATCGTAACGATGGACCACAAGCAGGATTCCTTCACTATAACTACTCTCTTTTAAGAGCCCAGGAATCCCTGGCGCTTCGGCCGCTGTTCATATGCCCGTATTTACTGCAAATTACTGTACACGTCCTCCCCCCGCCCCCCACGCTGCTCAAAGACGCGTTTCCCTGCGCACACGGCGCTGCTCACGCGCTTCACCCGCGCGCGCCGTAGCGCCCTCCCAAAAACGCGTTTAATGTTAAAAAAAACGCGCCTGCAGTACGAAAAAAAAAAAAAGAGACGCGTCCGCAGGACCGGCGCGGCGGCAGCGCCTTACCTGCCTAGTCTTAATCATGGTTACAGGCTTACAGTTGTGGCCTGTGCACTAGCAGTCCTTTTCTGCTTCTCTCTCTCTGCCAACAAAACAAACAAGCGGGTGGTTCACGGCTTCACCTAATCAGTAGTAACCTAGTAGGTAATTGGACAACTAATAAGTGACAAAAAGACCTATATGATAGATTGCAGCATGAAGAGACCTTCTTAGGGCGTCCCAACAGCTAGCTATTCGGACATGGACAGCGAAAAAATAAGTAGGAGAAAGAAAGATTAGTCACTAGCGACAAACAAATAGCTAATCTATTTTACGTAGTCTAAGAATCTAAGAGAAAATCATATGGGTCAAATAGTACAAGATTATATAAAATAGTCTTTGCTTTTGTCTCTCACCTCCACGTAAGTTGGCTATGTAGCTAGCATCACTGTGGACGCCCTTAGTAGCCTTTGCAACGCATGCTAATGAGATCATGGCAGGCCGGGTGTGAACATCGGAGACTACATACACTGCAGGAGTCAAGGAGTAGTTGACAGTATATATTATTAACGCATCTTAATAAGTTGTGCTCTTTATAAGGAGTAACCAGCTAGCCAGGCTTCTCCACACCAAAAATAACATGTTGATCAGTCGGAAAGCAACAATGGGCATGCTTAAACCCTCTTGCATCCAAATAGCCATAGCCCTGCTTTTTCTCGCACAAACCAAGATCTCCATTGAGGCATCTGTCATCCTGAAGAAGGATATGACCAAGAGCTGTATTAGCAGCGAGAGGTCAGCCCTTCTTGCCTTGAGAGCAGGCTTGTTGGATCCCATAAATCGCCTTTCATCATGGGAGGGAGATAACTGTTGTCAATGGCAGGGTGTCCAGTGCAGCAACAGCACAGGCCATGTCATCAAGCTTGACCTGCGAGCCCCTGGCTGCCTCGACAATGGTGTGAGTAGCCAGGCGCTAGGGGGCAACGTGATCTCCTTAGTGACTGGTCTACGTCACCTCCAGTTTCTCGACCTCAGCTGCAACATGTTTGATATGGTGCCAATACCAGAGTTCTTGGGTTCCCTGCATGACCTGAGATATCTTGACCTCTCACACTCCAACTTCGTTGGAAGGATACCGCCACAGCTGGGTAATCTCTCCAACTTGCATTACTTGAATCTTGATTCATACACGGGTGGGCAAGTTGTCAACATATACTCAATGGACATCACCTGGCTGTCACGGTTGCGCTCCCTTGAGTACCTCAACATGAGGTCCGTGAACCTTAGCACCACTGCAAACTGGGTTTCCGTGGTGAACATGCTTCCTTCACTTCAATTTCTCTCTCTCTCTTACTGCCAACTTGGCACGAGTCCTGACTCGCTCTTGCATCTAAATCTGACATCTCTTGAAACACTCGACATATCATATAATAGTTTCTACAAGCCTATCGAACCCAACTGGTTTTGGGATTTGACTAGCCTCAAGGAGCTTTATATTCAGTCAAACCAGTTTTATGGACCAGTTCCACAAGGGATAGGGAATATGACATCCATGGTGAATCTTAGTCTCGCAATGAATAACCTAGTCGGCATGATACCAAGCAGCATGAAGAATCTATGTAACTTGGAAGAACTTTGTTTGATGATAAACAACATCAATGGAAGTATAACTGAATTCATCCACCGCTTACCCAGCTGTTCATCACATAAATTGAAATCTCTGCTTCTATTTGACACCAATCTTACGGGAAGCCTGCCAACTGGGCTACCACAACATTTAAGCAATTTGGTCGCACTAGACCTTCGTTGGAATAATCTGACAGGTACTGTGCCACTATGGATAGGAAAGCTCACAAAGCTACAGTTTCTGAAACTTAGCTTCAACAAACTTGATGGTGTCATACATGAAGGCCATTTATCTGGCCTACCAAATTTGGAGTTCCTGTTGTTGGCCCATAATTCTTTGTCCATCATATTGAATTCGACTTGGGTTCCTCCTTTCAAGCTAGACACTATTGAACTTGGATCATGCCATCTGGGGCCAACCTTTCCGATGTGGCTTAAATGGCAAACATCAGCATCTCTTATTGATATCTCAAACACAAGCATATCGGATGCGGTACCGGATTGGTTTTGGGTAACAGCTTCCTCCGTGTCCATTCTGGATATGAGAAATAATCAGATCAGTGGTTTTCTACCATCTAAAATGGAATTTCCGATAGCATATGCAATTGATCTCAGTTCTAACCAGCTTAGTGGCACAATACCTAAGCTTCCTGTTTATCTAACTAGGTTGGATCTCAGCAGAAATAATCTCAGTGGGCCACTGCCACTAGATTTTGGAGCACCAGGACTTGAAATACTTCTTCTATACAAAAACTCAATCTCTGGCACCATTCCATCTTCTTTATGCAAACTGAGACAACTACAATTGCTAGATCTCTCAGATAATAAGCTTACTGGATCCGTTCCTGATTGCGTAGAAGATAAATCCACAATATACATGGCAAGCTGGAGTATTCAGTCTCTGAACTTAAAAAACAACAGCTTCTCTGGTGAATTTCCTTTATTTCTCCGTAACTGCCAGCAACTGGTATTTCTTGATCTTTCACAAAATCTATTTTCTGGGATTTTGCCAGCATGGATTGGAGAGGACCTACCCTCTTTGGCATTCTTGAGGTTGAGGTACAATATGTTTTATGGTTGTATTCCAGTGGAGCTTACTAATCTGGTTAAACTTCAGTATTTGGACCTTGCCTACAACAACTTAACTGGTGGCATACCGAAATCACTTGTCCGCTGCATAGGGATGATACTAACACAAGACAAAGCTGGTGAATTTGAAAACATAATACATTCAGCATATACAGTTGATTCGGATGACATGATTGAGTATACAGAAACCTCTACTGTAGTAATGAAGGGTCAAGAAAGACTGTATACTGGGGAAATTATATATGTGGTCAACCTTGATTTATCATGTAATGATCTTTCTGGAGAGATCCCGCCAGAGATTGGTACTCTTGTGGCATTGAAGAATCTGAATTTATCATGGAATGGCTTTAGTGGAAAAATTCCTCCGAGTATTGGGGCCTTGGTGCAAGTGGAATCTCTCGACCTATCACACAATGAGCTATCCGGTGAAATCCCCACAAGCTTATCAGCTCTCACATCTTTAAGCCACTTGAATTTGTCATACAACAACCTATCAGGAACTATACCATCTGGAAGTCAGCTGCAAGTGCTCGATGATCAGGCCTCAATATACATTGGCAACCCCGGTCTCTGTGGTCCACCTATCTCCAAAAAATGTCCAGAAACCGGGTTGATCCCTGCTGCTCCAGGAGATAACAAGAATGGAAGCGACAGTGTTTCCCTTTTTGTCGCCACGAGTTGTGGGTATGTGATGGGTCTCTGGACAGTCTTCTGCGTCTTCTTGTTCAAGGCAAAGTGGAGAATTGCTTCTTTCACATTCTATGATGGATTGTTTGATTGGGTTTATGTGCACGTGGCTGTTGGCTGGGCCTCTTTGACAAGGAAAACGGGTAGTAGCTGAAATCAGAAGTTCAGAACCAGATGAATCTTCCGTTACTTCCCAAAATAATGTCTGTATGTATCTGTCTTCAATGATTGTACCAAAATATATGAAAATCGGTAGACTGGGAATGGTAATGTATCATATTTGGCAAGTTCAGTATCAATATAACTTACAAAGATGCATGCCCTTTGGCGCGCCGCCGTCGCCCAGCCCATCTGATGAGCTGCGCCTCAGCTCCATTGACGCCGCGCGCTGTGCAACTCCAACGCTCCGCGGCGTTGCTGCACAGTGCACACCACCATAATGTAAACGTCTGTTGCCGTTGTGCTTGGCGGCCTGGCCGCCTGGGGAAAAGATGACTCCAGCAGCCCAACACCATCGTGGCATCGTCCTCTGTTTTTAGAAATATATAATCGTCTTCGGTAAAGGTGTAGCAGTGCAGGCTTGCAGCTGCCTACAGAACAGAAGGTAGTGTCCCTCAAGGTTACGCACAGATTTAGCAGCACCACGAGCATCACTGCACTCGGCTTGCACCCTCCATCGAGCATCACTGAATCAGGGGCGGAGGACCCGGTAGGGCGCCATACCTTGACTCTGCCGCGAATCCCCACTTCAAATCGTCCCCTGCTTTTCCGCAAAAAAAAATCGTCCCCTGCTGGCAGCCATGGACGAGGTCGTAAGGAGTCTGAAGACAATATAAATGCAGCGCTGAGCCGCCGAGGAAGAAGATAACTCAACTCAACAGGCCGTTATTTGGGCCTTGTGGACTACGGCTCTAGGCTGGCCCGGATATGACCATATGGGCTTTTCCCCTGGCTCCCTGCTGTAGACTGAAGTGTTGTCTGCCGTCCGTCCGTTATTTTTCTTCCTACAAAACCAGCTCAATCGTGAATTTGACGACGCCATGTGGATGGCGAACAGGCAAACTGCTAACCCCTGCAGCCCTGCTCATGTAATCCTCTGCTAGTCCACTCTGATTCGCGTTGCCGATGATCGATGACACGAAGCAACATAACTGAGGCCACGGCCGCACGCTGGCAGTTCAGCACGACAAGCAGTGTGCACACAAGTCTGAGTCAACGACAGAGGCTGACCAGGCGAGCAAAATCGTTCTTCTCGTTCAAGTAAGGCCTAATGGCCAAAACACGTTTGTGTCTGTTCATTGGTTGTTCGCTTCATCACTTCGTTCACTTATTTGTTTAGTTTGTGGATAATTACTTAATTGGGTTAGTAGATTTATAGCTCTTTCACTTTTGACTTTGCCATACCTCAATATTTTTTCGTCCTCCGCCACTGTCCTGTATGTCGTCTGCCTCAACGTACGCGGACACCAGCGTGGTCCAAGAAACCAAGTCCTTGGCGCACAACGTCGTGGCGTAAGTCGCTGACCAGGGGCGTGGCGCGGTGGTGGTGGCGGCGGCGGAGGACAAGGGGGCGCCAGCACGAGGTAGCTGTGGCAGCGGATGAATGGGACCGCGGCAGAGGACGGACGCGATGGCGGCGGACGACGGAGCTTTTGATTTGTTCATTTGTTGTGGCCTTGGGGGACGAGAGAGCAAGTATGGCAGCGCGAGTTGGTACTTTTGGTGGAGACGAGCTTGGCGTCGGATTTATTGGCGTCAGGCGTCAGCTATGCATGGGAGTTCGTTTGCATACCACGTCTTTGATTTTTGGAAGACACGTGGATAGGCTGCTCATTCCTAAAAGAGCAATTTCCCGACCTATATAACATAGCCTCCAAGAATTTTATGAAAACTAAAAACAGCTAGCTACACTCAAACATGAACCCCTATATCTTTCTAGCTTGAAAAAGCGTATAAACATGTATGGGCCGTTTGGTATGGATTCTGAGGCAGCTCTTAGAGTAGTTTTTCTACTCCGTATACCAAACGGTTGTTTCTGCAGGTGCCCCTCGTGAGGATCCCCGGAAAACACGCTCTCAGAGCCCGCCGCCGCCTAATGAAGCTGAAAAAAGGAGCTTTGATCGGCTCCTTGTGCTGCCTCGCACTACCAGCGAGGCAAGATCCAGTTTTGCCCTCCGGGAACCTTGCTCGCTCCTCCCGTCCTTCAAGCGCTGGAGCGCGGACACGCCGCCGCGCTGGAGCCAAGGCGGGGGAGGCGAGCTCGTGCGGACAAGATGTGGTGGGGGCGGAGCGGTGGGGCGGGGAGCCGTGCGAACGAGGGAAGGTGATAAGTAGAGAGAGAAAGAATAAATAAAGAGAAATAAAAGGAGAGAAAAAAAGGAGAAAAAAGAAAAAAATGGTATTTTGGACCTTTTATCTTTTTCACATGAAGGAGAAGTTGTTTTGTCAAACGATCCGAAAAACAGCTTGAGCTTCTAAGTAAATCTGCTCCACAGGTAAAGCTACAACTAAAACTGTTTGACTGAAGCCGGAGCTCTAACAAACGGATCCGTAGTCTTGCTCCGGTCCTCCTTGTGATCCACTGCTCTCTGTCCTCGTCAGCATCTAGAGTAGTCGCGGTCAATATGGGAGTCGAAAGAGCCTTGCTCTCGCCCACCATGTTGAATTTTTTGAGGACGTCCTTTTTACTTGCTGTGATGGATGAACGTGTTACTTATAGTCTATTTGATCTGAAGTCTGAGAAAGAGAGCCAACTCGCCCATCATATTCGTCACGAACTCCCTTGGCCCGACATCGGCGTTACCTATCTCACTTGGCTACGATCTGTCCAACTCGAGTTGGCTCGTTAGGCTAATTAGGTAGCTTGGTTTGGCTCGTTAATAATACGAGATAGAGGGACAGTTCGGCTCGGTTTGTTACCGAGCTTGAGCCGGCTCGTTTAGCTCGTGAGCTATAAAAAAATATGACACACATATTTATAATATTTATGCAACATTAATTTTCGAAGGTGATGTTCACCATTATACAACCATACATGATTAATACATATTAGATTCATCAAAAGTATCAACCATGCAACATAGCTGGTCCATCCATGATTATATAGTTCCAACATATTAACTAGTTGTTTGCCACCGCAAACTTAGAAAAGTCCACAGATTCAATGTCAGCATCATCACCTTCTCCCTGGAAAACAATCCATAAAATCAACATTTAACTACCACAGCAATTATAAAATTAAATTCATATGAAACAACTGAAAATAAGGATTACGTACCAATAGAATAGGTATACACTTCTAGGTCTGCATCATCATCTTCTGGATTTATGGTCGTGGGCTGATAGGCCTCAGCTCGTTTCAGCTCGTGAGCATCTCGCTAGCTGGCTCGTTAAAATAGCGAACTAGACTTCTAATTAAACTCGTGAAAAAGTTAAAACGAACCAAGCTGAGCCGGCCACGAGTCAAGCGAGTTGACGAGCTATGAGTATTTTGTCCAGCCCTAATCTCACCCACTAATCCCAGACACCGTCGCCTGGTGTGGCCCCACAAACCTGTGACCCCACTGCTCAGCCACCCGGTTGACCCCACTGTGGTGCATGATGGGCAAAGTGGAGTGTTGCCCCCATGCAACGCCGTCTGTACCAACGCCACTAGCAGCCGCACGACTGGAAGATGGCGTCCACGCCAATCTCCTGTTAGAGAATAGGCAATTTTATGATTAATTCCAGGATATAATCATGGCAACCGCAGCAGTTACTTGTATGTAAATATCTAACAAGTTAAATAGCAGCATGACACAAACGGCTGACATGTTGAAATAACATATCTGATCATGGTGTATGCATTTTTTGTTTGAAGGAGACGCCATGGCTGGTGGAGGAGGAGCAACGATGTTGTTGAGGACGTTGGTGAAGACAGGTCAAAGCAGCCGGCAGTGGAGACAACGGTACACCTGACTTGTCATGTAGGTTGCGAGCAGTTGCCCGAAGGCGCTTCGTAAAAGCCTTATTCGCCCTCTCCTGATGCAGGATTGCAAGGGCAAGCAGTTCCATAGATGCTCTCTCGGTCGCGGGGTGCATGTAGGTGCTAGTGATGGTGAGACAATATCGGCGGGGCAATAGCAGAAAGAACCAAAACCCTAGCGAATAGATGTGTTCTAGCATTGGCCAATAGGTCATTTATATATGAAAGTCTCGCACAATCTTGTGTCGTGATCACGATCTAAAGCGATGCTCTCTCGGTATCGAACCGGGCTCGCGAACGACATGATCGCATCAGTAACTAGTCCGCAATGGGTAGAACAACATCGGATCGATAGATGGGACCCGCATGGGGAAAAGTCGTCATGCCAAAACCCTCCCGCGACAGCCCTCCGCATACGGTCCTCGATTTCATCTTGCGTGGCCAATAAGAGAGAGGAAGGAGATTTAACCCGGTTCGATGAAAGTCTCTCCATCAATCTTGTATAGGACTCGTCCGATAGCCGCATTATTATCCATAAGCACCGCACTGATCTAAGGTTCTAACTCGCAGACTTAAAAGGTCAAACAACCAAAAAATAAAACTACAAAAGAGGGAAAAATTTGGGTGGATACAACATGCACGGGCCTCCAGTACATACCCTCTCTAATCTGCTGCCACGTGTACAAACAAAATAATCAAACGCCTGTACTCTAACTCTATCTAACTTGGCTGATCCGTAAATAATTGGGCCCATATAGATGCATTGAAGGTAGCTTGACGCATGCTATTGGATCATGAAGTAGGGACACATGGAATCCATCCACAGCATAAATGCAGAAGAGGCTGGTGCAGGCTATATGCATCGAAGTTTTTTTCGCACAAAAGAAGTCTACGCTCCCATAAGGTCACGGGCCAAATTTTAGTGGACCATTCACTTCAGATGCCACACACCTGCTCCTTTTGCCCCGGCCCGGTAGGAGCCTAAGCCCAGCCCGGCTCAGCAAGGCTAGTGACCGCACATGTGAAGTTTCCTTCTCTCTCTCAAAACATTGTCGCCACCTGTATAAAAAAATTGATGCTTCGGCCTTCTCTCTTCCAATCCAAATGTCGTTGTTTTCACACGCAGTGGGTTGGCAGGCCGGGCGAAGCTAGCATGAGTGCACGCAGGGAAGGTCGGGCAGTAGGTGAAG